GCATCCGAAGATGTGGGCAGTAGCCCACGAAAGCTTATGCTCTAATAAATTTGTTAGTCTCTAAGGTGCCACAAGTACTCCTGTTCTTTATATGTGTATATGTTGCCTATACAGTATGAGTTCCTCCATCCTTTCTGTTATCCCTTTAATATTCTCAGCATCAGATTAACAGTGAAAACAAATCTTTCACAGAAGAACTATAGGCCTACATTTTTAAAAGTGACTAATGATTTTGGGCCCCTCGTATGTGACTTGATGGGGCCTGGTTTTCAGAAAATGCTGAGCATCTGCCCTCTCAAAATCAGGCCCCTTTAAGGTGTTTCAAATTGAGACACCAAAAAACAATTTTTTTTGAAAATGTAGATCTTGCTGAATTATTATTAGAGAGAAACTGACACCTCATGAGGAAATTTTGAAAAACATTTCATTTATACATAAATATGTTGGTATATTATATATTTCCTGGGTTATCTTCTTCTTCATTCTGTCTTCATTATACGAGATGTATATGAAACCATGATCTTTCATAATTAAAGGTTCATCTGTTCCTGATGCACCTCCAATGAATCACAAGCCACAGCCAACTAGTTGTGCTGTCACAAACAGATGGCTGTGACTTCAGGTGAGGAATAATAATAATGCTTTAAATCAATCAAGAACTGTACAAACATTAACTAAATTAATCTGCACACAGCAAGAGTGGGTGGATTTTACAGAATCAAAACTCTTGTTTCCATACGAATATCAATGGGCTATAATTAAAATTAGGAAAAGAAAAGTATATGAACAATTTTCTCTTTGAATAGAAAGCTTAGTAATTTTTTATGGGGCGGTACCAGAATGTCTTCAATGCAGATTTAAAATGAAAAGGTCAAGAAATTGTACAATAAAGGCAGACAACTCAGAGATAGCCCATAAATATGTACACGACTGACAGATTTCTCCTCCTACTCATTCATGACTCTGCCCATTGGCCCCATAGCATAAACAATGCAGTATCACGCATATGCAATGTGTCTCTAACTGTATGAAGAAGTGAGGCATGTTTCTTGTGGAAACTTAAAGGGGTTATGTAGCCAAAGGATAGCAATACCCAATATCCATTCAGGTACTTCTGTGGCCTTATCATTGTCACAACCTGGGATGCAGACTGTCAGGTCTAGTGGCTAGTGCAGGAGCCAGGAAGCCAGTAGGAAAGCAGGGCTGGAGCAGACTGGGCATGACAGGAGGAAGGCTGAGAACAAGGCCGGCACTGGAAATATTCCACCTGTGGGCATGTACATTGAGAAGTCAGAGATCAGTTATTGCTGTTGGGCTAAGAGCAGGCTACACCTCAGTTGTGCTACTCAGCTGGCAGGAGGTTGTGCAGGCCCAGCTGCAAGTCCTCATTCCTGACAATCCTAATCCAAAAATTTAACTCTGACTCATGTTATATAGTGCGTGGAAGTCCATGATAGAAAACAAGCATACTTTGAGGAGGGAAATGGAGAAGAATAGGGATGCTTTGTAACGGGAAGAGGAATGTCATTCCAGGCATTAGGAGAAAGTTATGTTCATGCATACACACAGAGAAGTCAGATAAAAACAAATACTCTTGATGGAAGGTTGCAACATAACACTATTTTTTAGAATTCAGAATGATAACACCCAAGAACCCCCAAAACAGAGACACACCCAGCAGACTGCTCCCCAACACAGAGAGGCACAACTCACCCCAACTTACCACAGACTGACTTTTTCCCAGAATGACTCTGATTGCATACTTCCTTACACAGGCACCCAGCATGGCAGCAGGATCAGGAAACCATGCACTCTTACAGCGCTTACTTGCAATTTCAACAGAGTCCTCAATACACCACAGTGAAAAGAGTGAAAAAAAGCCATGAAGGAGACAATGGGAGGAGGAAAGACTGAGTGCAGTGCAGACATGGAGTGATTAGAGATGAGAACCGGCAAGGGTAGAGTTCCTCAGAGCTTTAAAAATATTCTGTGGAAAGAGACAGTGAGCTACCCCAAATTAGACTTCTGTACTCCTCCCCGACGAGGGGAGTAGCTCTAAAATCGACTTTGCTGGGTCGAATTTGGAGTAGTGCGGACGTAAATCGACGGTATTGGCCTCCAGGAGCTATCCCAGAGTGCTCCATTGTGACCGCTCTGGACAGCACTTTGAACTCCGATGCACTAGCCAGGTACACAGGAAAAGCCCCAGGAACTTTTGAATTTCATTTCCTGTTTGGTCAGCGAGCTCAGCAGCACAGGTGACCATGCTCCCCAGAATCGTAGAGCATAGAATGTTTCTACGCTCCCCCTATAATCTCCATCCCGGAGGTTATCGCAGATTGGAAGGCGAAAAAACCCCCACTCGCGATGACATGTTTTCCAAGCTCATGCAGTCCTCCCGCACTGATAGGGCACAGCTTAATGCATGGAGGCATTCAGTGGCAGAGGCCAGGAAAGAATTAAATGAGCGCAAAGAGCGGAGGCAGGACGCGATGCTGAGGCTAATAGGGGGGCAAACGGACATGATGAAGCGTCTGTTGGAGCTGCAGGAAAGCCAACAAGAGCACATCCTCTGCATCCACTGTATAACCGCCTCCCCTCCTCCCCATGTTCCATAGCCTTCTCACCCAAGAACGCGGGGAGGAGGGAGGCAGGAGGCTCCGGGTACCCAGCCACTCCACTCTAGAGGATAGCCTAAGCATCAGAAGGCTGTCATTCAAACAGTTTGATTTTTAGTGTGGCTACAATAAGCAATGTGGCCTTGTCCTTCCCTCCTCCCCCACCCGGGCTACCTTGTCCGATATCTCTTCTTTTTTTTTAAATTAATAAAAAAGAATGCATGGTTTCAAAACAATAGTTACTTTATTTCGAGGGGGGAGGGTGGTTGGCTTACAGGGAATTAAAATCAACAAAGGGGGTGGATTTGCATCAAAGAGGAACCAGGAAGGAACCCAGAAAAAAGGCGCGAAGGAGGGAGGGGTGACTGACGACATGTACCCAAAACCACCTGTGACAATGTTTTTGCCCCATCAGGCATTGGGAGCTTAACCCAGAATTCCAATGGGCGGCAAAGCTGCCCACAGTGCACCGCTCTGTAAGTCAGTGCTAGCCACGGTAGTGAGGACATACTCCGCCGACTTAATGTGCTTAGTGTGGACACACGCAATCGACTGTATAAAATCGATTTCTAAAAATCGACATCTATAAAATCGACCTAATTTCATAGTGTAGACATACCCTGAGAGCCATCAGCATAAAGGAGATTGCAGTTTAAAAGCTGACTGACAACTTCCAAGTGGTTTTTAGAATCAGCAAGTTTAACAGCCAAAAATGCAGCCAGTATTTGGAGCCAAATGTAAAAAAAAAATAATAATAATAAAATAAAAGAGCCTCTCCTTTATGAATGAACAACTTCATAGACACATACACCTGCACGTGTTGCTTGGCAGCAACTGTACCTCTGTACAGTTTTGAAAGATACTTATAAACTTCAAACACAGTTGATAATATTTACACCTCTTCCCCGCTTACCAAAAATCCATGTGGACCCATAGGGAATTGTACATGTGATCCCCATCACCTGTGTACACAGATGGTAATGCTAGCACAGTATGTGCATTGGTGCTAAGCTGCAAAAGCACAAATGGAGAACTTATTAAGGCCACTTTTGAAAACGTGGCCCTTAATGTCCACCTGCTGCTCCCTGCAGTAATGATTAAAACATCCCAGAAACAGATGCTCCCTGAAAAACAAAACAATTCCTTCTGCTTTAAAAATAACGACATTTTGAATTAAGTCCCGGTCTAGTTTAATGAAAAGCTTTATTCTAGCATCATGCTGAATCAGGCCCAGTGCTGCAGCCCTTTCTTACACTAAACTCCCACTGATTTCAATGGGACTTCTGCTCACAAGAGAGCTGTAGGATTGGTTCCTTGATCAAGTTAAAACAACATGCAATTGTAATATGTCAGCTAACATGTTATTTTTAAAGACCTAGATAAATAATTTCCTCATGTTCACACTGGAATCTCTCTTCACAGGCTGACCTGAAGATTTTGTATTAAACGGGTACCAAGAATCATGAATAGAGAGTAAGTACTGTAATGTTACATTTTCATCCTGCCATTGTCATTGCATTCATTATTTCATGGTACTAACTGCGTCAGGTAAGGAGACATGGCATCTCCCTAGAAGAGCTTACAATCAAAGGCCCCCTTCCTGCAAACCCTTAAGCATGTGAGTAAGGCTATGGCCACATCTACACTACCCGCCGGATCGGCGGGTAGTAATCGATCCCTGAATCAACACCCGTACTCCACCTCAGAAGGAAGAGTAAGCGGAGTCGACGGGGGAGCTGTGGCGGTTGACTTGCCGCTGTGAGGATGGCCAGGTAAGTCGAACTAAGATACTTGGACTTCAGCTATACAAGTTTCTGCGCCACAAGTTATACCACTTTTATAAAAATGCTGGAATTAAACCCCTGTTGTGTGTCCACACTGTGCTCCTTGTGATGCTGGAGCGCATCCACATTAGCAGCTCTTGCATTGACACAGAGAGCCGTGCATTGTGGTAGCTATCCCACTGTGCAACTGGCCACCGGGTGTTTTGGGAACAGTTTGCAATGCCTCATGGGGCAGGCACAGCATCACATGATGCAGGTTCCCCAATCTCATTGTTCCCTGGGCATCCTACTACATTGCCAGCTTTTCAACTGAAGTGGGGGGGGGGGAGAGAGAGGGAGTGTGTGTGTGTGTGGTGGGAGGGGTGGGAAGAGAGACAGTGTGTTATGGGGGACAGTGTGTCAGCACGCTGTCTTGTAAGTTCAGACAGTGGCAGGAAGCAACCAGTCCTGAGGCGGGGGAGGGGGAAATCCCACCATCAGCCCTCGCCTCCCTGCCTGGGCTCTCTGCACAGCACTCTCTCTCTCTCTCCCTCCCTCTCTCTCTCTCTCTCACACACACACCTGCCTCTGTGTTCAACAGCACGAGCATTCCACATTAATGGTTTGCTTTGTGTCCCAGAGCAGATCAGCACAGCACACAAGGGCTGTCAGAAACGGTGCTTTGAAAGGGGAGGGGTGCATGTCTCCAGGGCAGTCGAGTTCAAAACAATGAGCAGAGCGGTCACTTGAGGCATCGTGGGACAGCTCCGGAGGCCAATTACAGCGCAGAAAGCAATCAAGTGTCTACACGGGCAATTGAGCGCTGGAGCCTCTGCGCAAATAGCCTCACGACTCTGGTTTTTTGCAGCGCTGCAACTGAGGAGTTTCTGCGCACAAAGTGGCTTGGCAGTGTGTACTCGGCTGCAGTTTGAGTGCAAAAAGCTGCTTTACTGTGCAGAAACTTGCCAGTGTAGACAAGCCCTCAGTGTCCTCAGTAGAGCATGGTTTACAGGACTAGAGCCTAATGAAACAACAAAGCAGTAGGGCGTAGTTAGGGGAAGAGAAAGGCCAGGGCTACAATAGTAAGATTATATGGTTATTCAGCAAAGACATGTGTGCATCATGGTGAAGAAGGATTTTTTTTTTACATAAATAAATGTCTTTGACTCACTTTTCGTGGGAATCGTAATAGAAGGCAATGGCTCCATGGACTAGCTGAGGAAGAGTGTTCCATGCACAGGGGATGAAGTGGAAAAAAGCTTAAGTATTTGCAGGACCAGTCCTTAAGAGAAGAGCTTGCTTTTCTGCCCACTGCTGCTCTCACCCTACCGCTTGGACATGTGGGGGGGAGAAGCTCCACCCTCACATGATTCTGGAGATGGAGGCTACTGCGGACCTAGAGCCAATCAAGTGGGAAATGGGTGGGGAGGACCCAGCCCGGACTGCTCTTGCAGTCACTGCTACTTTCTCTCTGCCTCCTGGGGGGTCTGGAGGAAGCCAGAATTATATATTCTCCATTCTATTCTTCCTGCCCCTGCAATCGCTCATCCTAATGTTTGTGTTGTCTTTATTCCATCTGTGTAGTGATAATAAAGTGATTGTACATCAGCATCACTCCCCTTTTCTTACTTCATTGGAAGAGATAGGTTGTTTCTGTAGCCAAAGCTTGCAAAGTAATTAATAGTTTTATTTTTGCTGGTAGGTTTATTCCCCCCACTAACAAAGAACTTTTTAAATAGTAAAAATCTCCTGTAAACGAGTAGCATTCATGGTAGTCCTACATTTCCAGTTTTACATAAGAACATAAGAAAGGCCGTACTGGGTCAGACCAAAGGTCCATCTAGCCCAGTATCCTGTCTACCGACAGTGGCCAATGCCAGGTGCCCCAGGGGGAGTGAACCTAACAGGCAATGATCAAGTGATCTCTCTCCTGCCATCCATCTCCATCCTCTGTCAGACAGAGGCTAGAGACACCATTCCTTACCCGTCCTGGCTAATAGCCATTAATGGACTTAACCACCATGAATTTATCCAGTTCTCTGGATAAATTCTCCAAACTCTCATTCACTTCAGCAGGAGGCTCTTTGTGAACAAAAAGTGCTGGATTTATCCCTATAAGATTACTTCTCTTTCCAATCACCTTTTATCAGCTTTTATTTACTGTGTGGGCTGCTACTGGGCTCTAAAGTCCCAAATAAATTTTGCCATATGTTTTCTAAAACATTATACAAAATGCATGAAATGATAATTGTATGAAAGTATACAAAACAATATTTTCTCATTGTAAATTTATGACCTGATCTAGTTTCCATTGATATTGATGACAAAACTTCCACTGCCTCAGAAAAAGGGATTGTTTGTATAGTTCCTTCTATTTATCCAGCAGACTTCCTGGTCTCGTTGTGCCATTCTGTGATGTTGCATTGTTGGCTTTATGTAATTCTTGACAGGCATTCAGGTACCATGGTGATGAGCATGATACAAAGAGGAAGACAGCTATAATCTGAACACTTGAAACAAATATGTTAGATAAAAGCAATTGAAATCTGATGTTTATAATTAGGGGATGTTTTTGCTTAGGAAAAAACAGTTTTGGTCTGAATCTTTGTTAGTAGTAGTATTTATTTGTATTATGGTAGCATGTAAAGGCCCTAACCCAGGTCAGGGTGCCATTGTGCTAGACACTATGAACATACATAGCAGGATACAGTCTCTCCCGATGAGCTTTCGCTCTAAATAGACAAGATAGACAAAGAGTCAGAGGGAAAACAGAGGCATAAGTGATTTGCCCAAGGTCATAGCGCAAATCAGTGGCAGAGCCAGAAATAGAAACCCAAGTCTCCTGAGTGCTAATCCACTGATCTGCACTGCCTCTTGTGTTCATTTTTCATTTGGGGAAGGGAAAGGTTAAACATGCTTAGAGAATTGTTTTCACTCTGCATTAGAGATACCAATAACACACACTGGTGCACAGCTCTAAAATATAACAAACTGAAGCCAGCTGTAAACTCAATTTTGCACCAACAAACTTAAAAAAAAATCTTGACAACATGTCTCTACTCTCAACTGAGATACCTAGGCCCTGGTTTTCAGCAGTCCTGAGTACACCTTTCTTATTAATGGAGGTGGCTCAATTAGGACACCCAAAATTAGCAGAGAATCTGGAAATAGGAGTTATGATTATAGAATATCAGGGTTGGAAGGGACCACAGGAGGTCATCTAGTCCAATCCCCTGCTCAAAGCAGGACCAATTCCCAACTAAATCATCTCAGACAGGGCTTTGTCAAGCCTGACCTTAAAAACCTCTAAGGAAGGAGATTCCACCACCTCCCTAGGTAACCCATTCCAGTGCTTCACCACCCTCCTAGTGAAAAAGTTTTTCCTAATATCCAACCTAAACCTCCCCCACTGCAACTTGAGACCATTACTCCTTGTTCTGTCGTCTGGTACCACTGAGAACAGTCTAGATCCATCCTCTTTGGAACCCCCTTTCAGGTAGTTGAAGGCTGCTATCAAATCCCCCCTCACTCTTCTCTTCTGCAGACTAAATAACCCCAGTTCCCTCAGCCTTTCTTCGTAAGTTATGTGCCCCAGCCCCCTACTCATTTTCATTGCCCTCTGATGGACTCTTTCCAATTTGTCCACATCCTTCTTGTAGTGTGGGGCCCAAAACTGGACACAGTACTCCAGATGTGGCCTCACAGTGCCGAATAGAGGGAAATAATTGCTTACCTCAATCTGTTGGAAATGCTTCTACTAATACAGCCCAATATGCCATTAGCCTTCTTGGCAACGAGGGCACACTGTTGACTCATATCCAGCTTCTCGGCCATTGTAATCCCCAGGTCCTTTTCTGCAGAATTACCGCTTAGCCAGTTGGTCCCTAGCCTGTAGCAGGGCATGGGATTCTTCCATCCTAAGTGCAGGACTCTGCACTTGTCCTTGTTGAACCTCATCAGATTTCTTTTGGCCCAATCCTCCAATTTGTCTAGGTCACTCTGGACCCTATCCCTATGCTCCAGCGTATCTAACTCTCCCCCCAGCTTAGTGTCATCTGTGAACTTGCTGAGGGTGCAATTAGTCCCATCATCCAGCTCATTAATAAAGATGTTGAACAAAACCGGCCCCAGCACCGACCCCTGGAGCACTCCGCTTGATACCGGCTGCCTTAAGGGCAGTATGAACAGAGGGATGAAGGGAAAAGTGGGAGAATGAAGCATCACTAGGAGGGTGGTGAAGCACTGGAATGGGTTACCTAGGGAGGTGGTGGAATCTCCATCCTTAGAGGTTTTTAAGGCCCGGCTTGACAAAGCTTTGGCTGGGATGATTTAGTTGGGATTGGTCCTGCTTTGAGCAGGGGATTGGACTAGATGACCCCCTGAGGTCTCTTCCAATCCTGATATTCTATGACTTCCCATCTTCCCTGGTGCATCCATGTGTTGGGAGCATTACAAACACCTAGACATGCCTACACACTGTTGCTGTTCTAGAAAGAAAAATTGCTGCTACTACAAGCCCATAAATGTTGTTTTAAAGCTTTTGAATGTTTTTCAGTATATTCTATGGGTATATTGTTTGTGTGTAGGGCCTAACTCTTTTTCACTGAGGCCGCTTCAGACCACTCTGGCAGTGTAAAGGGGTGAAAATGTAACATTCATTCACTATGAGGCACTTTTTACACTACCAGAGTGGGCTGGGGAGGGGAGGGG